AGATTTCTTATAAATAGATGAAAATCATCAGTAAAAAGTGCTATTAATCTTAATATGAAAGTGAATTGATCTAAGAAGTCGAATTAGATATTTCATGTTTTTTTTTTTCTCCAAAATTTTATTGTTTATTTGTTAAGGTATACCTTTTCGTACTCGAATTATTGGTTTATGGGTTCAATTGAAAATATTAATTATTAAATTAAATTTGTTTCATTCTGATGTTGATGTAAGTGAAGATGAAATAAAAGGCGAGATAATATCTACTCGTATTTATATTTTTCTTCTTATTCTTTCAATTTTAATACTCGCTATTTATCGATTACAAGTGACAATTATTCAAACAATTACTGTTTCATCACCGTCCTATACGAAATATCTCGAATTATATGAAAATTATTCTTCTTCTCTGGTATGTCCATGTACAAATATTGGAATTCCACAAGGAAACTTTATTGATATTAATGCTACTTTTCATCAAGTGTGTCAAAGTGATTTTATAAGCGAAAGTTATTTATTATTTCTAAAAAAATCTGTATTAGATAATCTTATTATAACTGGTCAATGTCATTTACAATTTATCGCATCATGGTGCCGTTTGGCGGACGAAAGTTTAAGAGATAATCGTCTTGTATTTAATAGTCAACAATTTATAACTCAAGAAGTCTTATCGATTGAAATATTGGAGAAAGAAGTTCAATCTCTTGCAATCGTCTTTTTTACAACAACAATCAGCATATTTGTTCGTTCATTATCGATTGCTTATGAAACAACTCATATGAATGCATTACAGAGTGGTTTAAAAACAAATTTCTATCCTCAAATTAATGGTGCCTATCCATCTTTAAATGAGGTAACAGTCTCTCACACTTATGCTCCAAATGCATGCAGTTGTAATGTAAATCCAACATGCACAGGATCAAACTCATTTCCTGTTCCAAATAATTCCGGAACGCTTAGGTTCACTTTTCCAGGATTATTAACTGGATGTTATTTAGATGAAGCAACTTTGCAATCAAATCTTCAATGTTATTATAGACAAACTTGTTTAGATACAGTTCATTCTTTCATTCAATCGACATTATCTTTTAATGCAACTGCTCTTAATCAACCTCTCAATAGTCAATATAATGCAAGTTCCCTTATTAGTCATATAGTTGATAATATGATGTTAGAAAATTGGACAGCTGTAGCATTTCATCAATCATTTTATGAAACTTGTCAACCATCATTATGTACTTATTCTTATCAAACTCGAAATAGTATTTCAAGTGTTATTACGATTGTCATTCAACTTGTTGGTGGATTAACTATTATTCTCAAAATTTTAGTTCCAAAAATTGTTAAACTATTTCGTTCACGACCTTGTATACGTCATGAAAATACCACACAAGGTAAAAGATATTTTTTCTACAATTGAAAAAAAATTTATTTTTTTCATTTTTTTAGGTTTTTCAATCAATCGATTATTTGTTAAAATAAAAGATTTTGTAAAAAATTTCAATTTATTTCATTTAAAAATATCGTTCAAAACAAATTCACAGCGACAATTTCAATTAGAAGTGATATCAACACGTCTCTTTATCATTCTTTTTATTAATTCATTAACAATATTTGTTATTCTTATTTCATTAATACCTATAAAACGAACAATAACCTTTGATAAACCATCTTATGAAAATTATTCGATTTTATACAAACAACAAAGTCAATCTCTTGAATGTCCATGTACAACTCTATCGATTGAATATAATCAATTTGTTCAAGTGAAAGTTAATGAAACTCATCAAATATGTCAAAGTATCTATATAACAGATCAATGGACTTCATTCATTTCACAAAAATCAGGTTCGATTTATGGTACCGATTTGCGAACAATAGGAGTTCTGCTCTTTGATGCATTAGCATCGCTATGCACTCTTACTCAACAGGCAATTTCTGATGAACTTATTGCATTTCATGCACAACAATTTGTAACGCGTTATGTCATATCATTCGATTTATTTCAAGAACAAATTAGGTCGTCTATTGAATATTTTATCACATCAACAACACTCAATTTTATCCGTTCTTTACAACTCGTACGAGACACAACTCAAGGCAATACACTTTTTGCTACACGTGGAACAAATATGGAGTTTTATATTAACGTTTTCAATAATAAGACTGTTATATTATCAACAGCCTATAGTTCTTACAAGAATTCATTATCAGTTTGTACATGTCAGGATACTTCACAATGTGTTAGTCAATTAAACATTTTCAAAACTCCAACAACTGTTATTATATATACCCTTCCCAGCATGTATGTCGGTTGTTTTATTCTCGAAGCTTTACTTCAATCAAATCTTATTTGTTTTTATAATCAATCATGTATTAATGATCTTCGTTATGCTCTCAATTCATCTAATACAAATTTACCTACATATTATACTAATATAAATACAACAGCATTGGATTTAACATTACCCAGTCAATATCAACCAAATA